AATTAATCCTAGGAGGATCTATTTTAAGCAACATCCTAAGTCACATAGCTAGTAAATGGTGGGCTAGAACCCTAGACACTTGAACGTGGATTGCTTGTCTTCAGTACACCGTATGCATTACCTACATTTAATCTTCCAGTCACTCACTTCTTGTAATTTGTTTTCTAATCCCAAGTCACTGCTACTAAAACTCTTCCAAATTATCCAACCCTGTGACCATTTTTATTTATTTCAACTTTTCTGTTGACTATTTCCTTTCTCCTTGAAATTCTCTCCTGTCTTGACTTCTGCCCTGTATTATCCTCAAACTCCCTTTACTTTTCTGACTACTCCTCTTTGTCTGTACTTTATTCCTACTTTTGTTCCCTTAACATGGCTTCCCCAAGGCCGCCTTCTTAGCATCTGGCTATTTGTTTTCTGCACTTGCTATCAGTAATTATTTCCATGGCTTCAACACTCAGTTCTACAAAGATGACCTCCCATTCTCTACTTCTCATTCGAAGACTCCATACTCCCAACTTGTGTTACCAGACATCTATACATAGCACTAGCACGCCAACGATAACATGTCCAGAACCAAAGTCATAATCTTACCCACAAAATACATCTCCCTCCTGATGTGGCTGTTTCTGCCAATGCATTCAACCCCTCGACATAACTCAGAACTCTTAGGGTCACTATTGTCACTTTCATGTTCAATGACCCAGTTCAGTTCCAGCATAGTGTCCATCTATCACATCTGTCTTTTCTGTTCCTTTCTTTATTTCCTCTACCCTACATTAGACTTTCAAAGCTTCTCTTCTAGACTTAATTGAAGGAAATTTATCCATTACTTGAAAGTTATTTCTAGGTGGTGAGACCGCAGGTGATTTTTGTTATCTTCCTTGTACCTTTTTAGATTAAAAAAAAAAATTCTCCACAGTAAAAATGTACTACATTCATTAAAAAAAATACACACTTAAAAGAACTGACTATAATAAAAGGAAAATAAAAGTAGTTTTATTCACTCTTTGAGAATTTATTGAATGCTATCTCCCTCATGAAGTACTTCCAGATTTCCACAACCAGACTTGTTTAATCATTTCTTTGATGTTGTTTTTTTCCCCTCCACCTCTCATGTCATTAACATATTTTAATATGTTTTTCTTTTGCATTAAGTTTTGTGATTTTTCTCACCTATTAGTCAATTCTTGAAGACCAAAAGTGTTTTATCCTGATTCTGTTTATAGTTAATAATTTCTCAGTAAATATTCGTGAAATGTATTGAATCAAACCCCAAATAATATAATGTGAGCTGATAACTACTGAGTTCTGTCTTCATCTCAATTCTCATTAAGCCTAGTGCCATTGTCACCAAAATTCATTCACGATGGCTCCTTGGCAGAGAAGCCAAGAAAATAAGTCAGATAAACTGTTGTTATTGGTTCGAGCCCAATCATTGGTTTCTTTTAGGGGCAGTGGGTGTAAAGCAGAAAGCCTGAGGCAGAATAGAGCACTGGGGCATTATTTATTAAACACAAAAGAACAGAACAATTGTATGTTTGTTTGCTGTAATCCAAAGCATTTGCATATTCCCTTGGACTTGTTATAATGACACCTCTCCTCCATGTCAGTTGATTGCCAATGTTGTAGCTATATAAATAGTTAGTATCCATTAATACTAAGTAGAAATTCCATGGGATTCTTAAATTAAACGCTTTTAAAAATTCAGGTTCTATTTTCCTAGAACAGATTTCAAGTATCTCTCTATACTTACTGTCTGTCTTTAGCTTCAAGTTGGGGGATGGGAACACTTGGGATTCCTAGACCCATTGAAGGGCATTTCTGATTTGAAATCCTTACAGAGTTCTTATGATCTATGCAAGGCCCATTGATCACTTCACCAAAAATGAAACTTAAAAAAAAAAAGTGAAAATGTCATTCTTTTGTTTGTATGTTTGTGAACATAGATTAGATTTTGTCTTGAGCCTTAATCTAAAATTTAAAAAGTTAAACTAGCATCCAACTGAATGACCATATAGGTACCAGGAAATCACATACTTGTTCAATTTATTTTAAAAATACTTACATAGTGTTTGCTCTGTTCCAGGTATTTGTTCTAAGTACTTTAGAAACATTGCTAATCCTCATAATGTAGTAAAGAAAAACCTCTGTTTTGTTGGAGGTTTACAGGGACACCATGACCTAGCCCACTGGGATGGCTGCATGAACAAAGAGCCTGCAGCAAGAGGATTACAACAATCAACCACACCCCTCCCTTACTTTTTGTATAAAAGGAGTCTGTATTCTGACTAGAGCAGGATGGTTCTCCAAGACATTAGTCTGCCATCTCTCGGTCTGCCAGCTTTCCGAATAAAGTCTTTATTCTTTGCCCCACCACCTCATCTCCTGAGCTATTGGCCTGTCGTGTGGCGAGCAGAGCGAGTTTGGACTCAGCAACAATAATAACTCCATGGGGTTGGTACTGTTACTCCATTTCACAAGTCAGGAAACTGAGGCAGTGAGCAATTAAAGTAACTTGCCCACAGTCATTTTTTAAACTACTGAGCGAGAGCTGGAATTTGAACCCAGGTCATCTGGCTCTACAGACCTATGCTCATAACTACTGTCTTTTCAAAGAATTGACCATCCTTGCACCTAAGGCTATTCTATTCTTCTAGTTAAGGAGAGTGCCTTTGGGGATTAGTTTTGGGTAAGTAATGTTCCATTCCTTTTGATGGTTTTATCAAGAAACAGCTGCTAAGTACTTGATTGAACAGGATCTGTACCAAATGCTTCCTGAGTTTGGGTGGATTTAGAAGATAATGAGCAAATGCCTGTGTAGGGTGTGTTTATGTTAAGTATTCACCTAAAGCTTACTGAAAGATAAGGGAATATGGATACTTTACACGTCTGCAGTGCTTTCAGAAGTCGTAAGTCACTGCCTGTGCTCCTCACACCAACTCTTTGGTTAGCAGGGCATATCTTAGTAGTTTCATTTTATGGGAGCTGAAATGAGGCTCAAAAAGATGAAGTGACTTTCCAAAAATCTCGGATAGTGAGCAGCAGGGTTAGTGGTCTAATCCAAGTCTCCTGACTCCAAATCCAGGGATCTTTCTCCTATATTAAACCCTTTCCTGTGATCTGAACTTTGCTGTTACTCTGGCAACCATATAGAACACCAAGTGCTTGGAAACCATGATACTCCTTTCTCTGTGTGCCACAAAATAAAAAATTTAACTGAGGTCACCTTAACCACCAGACCCTTTGTCAAATTTCCTTCTTCATGTGCGTCATCTTCACGTTCGTTAAACTTAGTGCCCTTGTCACCAAAAGCTCGTTTATGATGGGCTTCTTGGCAGATAGGTCAGATATACTGTCTGTCTTTTCTGGTCCTGGCCCAGTTGTTCTGTTTCTTAGTCCCAGGAAGTGGGTACAGAACCAGGGGCCTGAGAGACATGGAACAGCAGTCTGGACTGAGGCCCTTCCCCACACTTGGCCTCATATTTCACCTCTGCTGTAGCCATTTGCCTCTCAACCACTCTTGTGAGCTGTCGCTATTTGGCAAGGGTGAAGGGCCGCTGCCTTCTGTTGGTTTGAGGCAACAGATTCCGGAATGGTTTAGATGGGGAATAGTCTTTATTTCAGAGGAAACAACCATGCCTCTGGGGCTTCCTTTTCATCCAGTTATGAAGTTAACCAAGAGTCAGATGTATGATCAGGTTCAAAAAAACCTTAAATGCTAGGTCATTTAAGATTTTGTCAGCAGGTGGCACTTCTCTCCTTACTCACTAGCCTCTCCAAGAGAAATACTGTTCTATTTCTTTGCTGCTACTGAGTTCCTCAGACTTGTTTAGCCATATCCAAACACTTCTCAGTTCTCTTTTGCAGGGATTTAGTCTACAATATCTGTTTACACGTTTTAATTTATTAATACTCTTTCCACAAAGGATCTGAAATTGCTTACAACATACAGTATGCAATAGTAAAATATGAAGAAAAGGAGAATATAAAATGGAACAAAGACTGTATCATTTGATTCTGGGTTGCAGGTAGCTGAAGAAAAACATACGAACAAAATATGAATATATGGTTTTCATAACCAGGTCTCTGGGTGAACGGGCAGGCAGAGAGAATACCTTTTCTAAAATTTGAAATTAAAATATAAGTTCTCACCTAGGGTTACTGGAGGCTAGTTTTTGTTGTACTCATCTCTCTAATCTAACTTATAATACGTTATTCCTGGTCCGTAAAAACTAAGCGGTACTTTTACCACCCTGCAGCCTCAAGGCTGGATGATCAGCATTTCTCACTCTCTAAGCTTCAATTTTTTCAACGTGCAGGCTTCACTCATTCATTCATCCTACACGATGAAGCTCCCACTGCCTTACAGGCTGTTGTCCCGGGCACTGAGAAGAGAGGCATATCCATCACGTAGGCTTAGGTGTCCCCAAACCCATTTATAAGATTCCCTTCTGTCAAAGAGCTTTTATGCAGTTGAAGAAAGAAGAGCTATGTTTCTACTCATGAAAAATTAGCTATAACAGGCAATGTTATAATCAAATGCTAAATCTGTGTGATTGGCTTTAAAAGGGCCCTAGGATTGTTCTAGATTTACAAATCGGTAAATTCCATCTCATTCAAATTTCTAATAGAAACCCGAATTAAAACTGCGGCTTCGATACAGTTCGTAAAGAATGGCCTTGTCCGCAACAGCCAGGGTAGGCGAGGGTAGGGGCTGGGGTGAGCGGAGGGCTCCGGGATGCCTGGCGGCCAAGAACCCGAAGGACCGGCGTCGCGCCCCTCCCATTGTTGTCTGAGGTTGGGGCCGGGGCCGGGGCCCGGGGCGGGGCCGGGCAGGGGGCTCCGGAGAGCGGGATCCCGGAGCCCGGCTCCGAAGCTGGGGGCCGGGCCCCAGCGCCCCGGGGAGGCGGCGGCGGGGCGGAGGCTTTGTGGCGCGCGCGGGTTTCCACTGCAGGCGGCGCGGAGGCGGG